AAAAAGGATGTGGGCGGCCGTTTTTAACATATATGGTGTAAGCAGCTTGGTTGCTTCCTTCACACCGCCTCACCGTTAACTGTGGTGGTTTTCTTCATTGTCGATAAACACAAGACTTTCCAAGCTGCTTGCCACATCAGGCTTCTTCTTTGCCGCCTCAAATAGCTTAATCATCGGAGGTTACGCCTGGATCCCATTTCAAAGTGGCAGTTGTTCTGTAGGCATTAGGCATGTTCCAATTCAACGCTATATGCTTCTTCTCCAGTTGATTAAGGTAATGATTTTTTTAATATTATATTCGTCATTTCTTGATTTCTCCTTCCTTCGCCTAAAATAGGTCAGTCAGGACCGTCTCAACACCATTCCTTGTTTACATCTTTCCGGTCAGCTTTCAGGTGCCATCTCAAAACGTGTCGATGTATAAGTAGATCTATATTACACTGATTTTCCTCCATACGACACCTCCCATGTACTCCGTTTTACTTGTCTATTTTGTCGACTATCCTGTGGGTCTCTTCTTCTTCTTCATGCCTCCACCATGGCTCTCAATTTTAAACCACCTGATGCTTGCTTCTTTCTTCTTGAAAGACCCTCCGTCATACCAAGTTACTATTCAGGTAGGTTTGAGCCCTAATATTGAAAAATTGATTTCTTACAAGTAATGTTTTTTTTATCTTATATTCTGTGATTTATTGATTTCTCATTCCCATGCCTAAAATTGCTCAATGAAACCTGTCCTAGGATCATTCCCTCTTTACATTTTTCCGATCCGCTGACATCACTGATGTCGGGCCAGTTGGCAACCACGGTGGTGCGGGACAGCTGACGTCCCTTCCTCCCTCTGAAAAAAAAACCACCACAACATCATCCCCAACGTATCAAGACCACAACCTAACACCCTCGCGACCAATGTACATCAAGGAATCTGCCAGCCACCACCACTAACACTTTTTTAGGTTGGATGTTTGTTTGGGTTTGGTTTCTTGAAGGTGTTTATGGTGTTCTAGGACTCCTCAGATATGGTAAGTTATTAAATTCTTTGGTTATGATTGATATGAATTGTGCCCTAAAAGTGTTTGTTGAAATGTCAGTTTGGTTTTGGTCATTGTTAAATCATTTGATTCAAACTTCAATTGCAATATTAAGAGAAACGCATACGAATAGATCATAATAATCCAACAGTAAATCTCTTTTTTCACATATTATTTTGTGGGGTATCCTTAATGTTATCATTTACATTGTCGAACATGAAGTTGGAGCTAATGAAACTTCAATTAAAGAGGCTAGAAAACTTTCATAAGAATTATTTGCATCATTAAGAAGGTTTGTTATATGACAAATATATTTGGAAAAAAATCTAATCTTATTGTTTATGTTACAGGTTCATGAACGAATGACACAAAAAAATGTTGATGGCATTATAAAAGGTATAATTTGTAGCAATTTATACAAAGGGGGTTTTTGTTTTAACTTAATGAGATTAATTAATGGGTCAAATAAAACCCTTTTGAAGTATTTGAATAGACTATGTGATCTAAGTTTGTTCCGTTTCAAAGCATGGTCACTGTTCTTGATAAACTTCAGTTTGGTGTGCACTCTCTTTCTTCTTGATGATGTAGTTTTAAGAATATATGTTCTTTAATGCAATTAATGATGCTTCATTTAAGTGGGTAATATTCCAGTTCTCTTACCATAGACACCTCCTGATTACATCATTCTTAGGCAGCTGACTGTATGGCTGCTTAGCCGCATTTCGGGACAGCTGACTATATGGTCGACAGTTTTCTAGGTGATTTAGTTCTTATCTTTTCTTACATTCATGAACCATATCTGATGCCATTTTGTTTTTCTTATTTAATATTGCATTCACAGCTTTGTAATTACATGCTCTTACTAAACTATACATTTGATTACAACTCCAGCTTGACTAAATCTTTTAACCATACTGGGTAGAAATTGATAAATCCATCAACAACTTTGACTCTAAAGAATAAAGATGCTTTTTTATTTGGAAAAGAGGTAATTCTTGTCATGATTCTCCCTGATCTTACATCTTGTTGTTTTTTTTATTGTGCAACTACAACTTTATTTTACCAATGGCTTTCTTATAATTTATGTTGACATTTGTTTTTTTACCAATTTATGCAACAAAATGGACTTGTTACAAATCTATGCAAATGCCAAAATTCGTGAATTAATTGCAACAATTTGAAACATGACTACTTGCATAATTCTTGTTAGTAAAGAGTCATTGCATAATTTCATAATCCGAAAAATGATACTCCAAAAACTGAAGGAAGCATAGGTAACGTTTTAATTTAGAGTTTTTTGGTTAGTAGCTCTTGACAAACTTCTTTCATCTTTCTCCCATTGACATATGGTCCTTGACAGATTCTGGGGCAGTTGCCGCCATCCTTCCTTCTATGGTTTCCAGTGATCTTCAGCCAAGATATGGTGATCAAATTGGTAACAGGAGCTTTTAATAAAAAAAATGACAAGAGAATTGATGGCAGGGTTGTGTGCATCGAGATTGCTAATGGGGGAGGTTTTATGGTATAATGAATGGTAAACAATTTGTCTTCTATTTAATGACATTGCTATAATTAGGTTTATTATATTTTGAAAATTACCCACTTATAGGAGTACCCGTGGAACTTTTACAATAATTTAAAGCTTTTGATTTCTAATTCCACATAGATCGATACCATGAATAGGAAATAAGACATTTAGGAATACTTGAACTTGAATTGTTGCTTCACCCCAAAATACCCCATACATTCAACCATTATTAGTTGAAGTGTTTGTTGTACACTAAGATGTATATATTATCTCGTATAATTAATCTAAAATAAAGAAAGAACAAGTAGCTAAGGATTGACTTAATTTTTTTCTCTTACATTGTTCTATTTTGTTAACTTTTTTATTCTTATTAAGGCATAGTTCTTTGAAAAGATTACTTAGTTATAGCATTGTATTTAAAAAAAAAAATTGAAGGTTAGTATTATTATTTTTTTCATTTTATTTTTGTTACATAATCTTACTATTTTTTTGTATTGTTTCAATACAAGAGCAAAATGATGAAAATATGAGTGAATGGGTGTACACCGACTCATATAAATTACAATCCCCAATTTATTAGGCTTTTAATTTTTACATCAACTGTCCCAATTAGATTATTGCTCTCTAGCTTCGCTTACAGAGCAAGAAATTCCAAATGAAAAAAAAAAAGTAACACTTTGATAGCCATCATGATAACACTATTAACGTGTTTTAGCTTTAAAATACCCTCAAGATCCATGTTGGTATCATCTTTTTTTTTTTAAATCGAATATGTGAATTTGTAGGGATATCCAAAGGACCAATGCCAATGATCCAGATAGAGGATGTAAAAGTAGACTTTTAAGCAATTCTTAGGTAAAATAGAGTTTTTATCATTATAACATCTTATTTGCATTTCTTATATACCCTTTTTTAAAGAGGGCAAAATGAAAGTACTTTTATTTATTTATTTTTTAATATAGCATTTTATTTTCATTTCTTATTCAAAATAATAATTTACTTTTGAAATGTTTCTTATTAAATGTTGGCTTTGAAAATTTATCCAATTATAGAATTTTACTTTCAATATTTTTCTTATTAATATAATGTACTTTGATCTGCCCATTTTTAACATTCTACATGAAGTCTTTATCTTATTAGGACATTGTATTTTCGAAAATCTATCCAATTTCAACATTTTACTTTCGGGATACGTTTCCTTTTTTGAAGTCAAATGCATGAAATAACAATATCCTGTTAACTATTATGGTAGGTGTTTAACTTTGATTTTCACTCTCTTTTACTAACATGGAAGCACAAAGAGTGTATATAGAAAGAAACATAATAGTTCTAATCGTATCATCACCATTAGTTGGAATGAAATTAATGTGGAAGGAACCAAAAGTATATTTTTATTAGTATAAATCATGTTTTTCTTGGAATCACTTAAACTTAGCTTAAAAATCAATTCTTTAGGGTCGTGATTATCACGGCCCAATTAAGTTTCCTAGTATATATATATAT